ATAATAAATGATTATCATGAACAAGGAAATATAATAATAACCAATTTATTATTGCCTCTAGGGCATATTTCCAACACCGTGGTCTCGCGCCCATGCGCCAAGCTCGCCTACAAGTTCTTCGCCCCCTACACCATGCTTGAGAAGATTGGACCTCTGGCTTACAAGCTGGATCTGCCGCCGGACAGCCGCGTGCACCCGGTCTTCCACGTCTCCCAGCTGAAGCCGTTCACGCCGGACTACTCACCGATTTTCGCCGAGCTTCCCCGAGTCCAAGACCTGTCTGCGTCGACGACAGAGCCCGTCAAGATCCTGGAGAGGCGTATGATGAAGCATGGCGATGCGCCCGTGGTGCATCTCAAGATACAATGGTCGTCGTCGTCCCCGGCTCGGCCACCTGGGAGGACTATGACGTGCTACGCCGGCGTTTTCCCACGGCATCCATTTGGGAGGGGGAGGCCTCTTCTTAAGGAGGGGAGAATGTCACACCTAATCAGCTGATTAGTGTGCCTAGGTGCTGGCTGGCGGGCCCAGCCAGCTGGCCTGCCAAGTGGAGGTGTGGGTGCGTTAAGGGTGGCCGCCTGTGGCCGTGTGGAGGCATGCGTGTGTAGATCATTCTCTGTATCCAAACCTTCCTCTACAATCCTAACCCCTCTCCAAGCTCATCCCCCTTCCTCACCTGCTCCCTCTCACCTACTCTAGATCGCCGATCCCCTCTCCAATCAGGGGCATTACAGGAGGTTGGGTTGTGTATTTTGAAATGTACCAATTTATGAGTTCCACCATAGTTTCATCGAGGGACCCCTCTTAATAGTGTGACTTCCTATACAAAAGTAAATATGAAAAACTATGAATTGAGTTGGTAAATTAGGGACCCACATCCATCTTTGCATCAACTCTTTTGACTAATCCACTTCCTATAAATTCAGCACACAAGATTAGTCTTCAATTCATATTGTCATTATCACTAAAACCCACCTAGAAAGAGAGTTGCTCTTTCAATCTCCCCTTTTTGGTGCATGATGACAACATGACTTGCCATCATAAATTATGGAATTTGAGCTTTAGGTTGTCTACGATAAGTAGGAAGGCTCCACCTAAATATGTGCATCATCAAAATGGACATGCTAGGTGAAGCACAATGCACATACCTAAATGAAAAAAGACTCCCCCTAAATCCTAGAACAAAGTGGGGTGTAGCAATGTGAAATAGATACACCAAGAATTTTTCATTGCACACTAATGTGAGATCATAAAATGTATAAATCATGTAAGAGACCTTACAAGGTGGAGCGTGTTACATGCCATAGTGTATACATAGATTTTCCCACAAAGGTATGAGCAAAGGCCAAAAATATGGATATTGTAATGACATGATATGTATATATGATAAGAAACATTGCATAAACCCAAAGACACCATAACGAGGTCTTGAGCATCACTTAAATAAAGGTACTAGAGTATCCAATGCTCACACACGACCACATCCGTTAAGTGCATATTACATGACCATATAAAAGTTTTAAGAAAACCAAATAAGATGCAAATAAAATTTCAAGGTCCGTAAATTATGAAATACTACCCCATATAGCCCGGAAACCTAATATAACTCATTCTTCCCCCCCTTTGGCATCGAACCACTAAAAAGAGTGAAGAAATGAGTGATGCTAGCATGAAGTCCATCACCCATCCTCCTCATGATGATAGATGTCAATAGTATCAGCTGGAGGGGTGCCATCATTATCATCTTCGGTCTTGTTCACCTCATCATCACTTGAAAAGGGATCATCAAAGACTTTAAGTTTGCTGCTCTCATCTTCAGACCCATAGGGGATATTCTCACCATTGCGGCGACGCTCTTGACAAGGCCAAGAGCGAACTTGGAGCCGGCATTGGACTGGGTGTCCGCAACGATGAAAAGGAAAAAGTTGTGCTTTGAACAACTAAAATGAAAATATATAGGTGCCACGCGAGCATGGTTGGAAAGTAATGTCGACCGGGGTAAATCCCAACAGAGTGTTTTCACTTTCGTATTGCCTTTTTATAAATACTTGTGACTTTATTCATACTAGGAAATATTATAGGTACAATGCTTTGAATCTGAGATCTATGAAACAACGAGGTAACTCCCACAATTAAGAAATACAATGCAATATCTTGAAGATATTTTCTCCATGCCATCAATCCCTGGGAGACAAAATACTGCCAAGACATTTGTACAGAGACTACAATTAGACTGAAGTAGTGATACTGCCACTACTTTACTTGCACATACTTGATTACTAATAAAGATTTATCAAAGCCCAATGAGTCGTCCATCTAAAAAGATGAGAAGCCATGAGCAATGAATGTGAAATATTTCAACCCACAAAAAATCAAACCAACAAAAGCAACACGACACAACAACATAAACTGTTTGAATCTAAATAATCGACTTTGCGAAATACAAACCCTAAACTCGGGGTGGCGACTGACTAGTGATTTTTTTTATCAAGATAAGGTTGACTAGTGATAGGAGGAAAGGTTAGTCGTCATGCCAAATTAGCATGTGTGTACGCCTGCAGGAGAAGCTCTG